AGATGAATTTTACCAAAAAATGAGGTGAGAGCAAGGGAGGGAGGGGATAGGGAGCAGGCCCCCCTTCTGAACAATCTAAGTAAAATATGTTCTCCATAGATGTGCATTTATTTTTAATAAACGTGCCACTCAGTCACCTCTATAAAAAGTTAAAGATATTTAGCATAATGAAAAGACATATGATATGATATTGAACTAACATATGCAGACGTGTTTTTATATGTCTAATATGTAATGAAATAGTGAGCAAACACTAGTCCTGTTTCTCCTCTCTACAGTGTACAAAAAAAGCCAAACGCTGTGTGTAAGACAGCCATCTGCAATGACTAATTACATTCTTTTCCAGATATGCTATCTATTCTTCTGTAAATGCAACATAGTATCTGTCCTTAAAGTACATGTCCAGCCAAACCTTTTTTCTTAGTTTTGGATAGAGCAGGGAAAGGTTAGAACTGCTGTCACGTTTTTACTGCTATTTGGGGCTCTCATCCTGTTCTGCTAACAACCTTTTAATATACTTGAAATGGTAAATGGATGGCACTGGAACCTCAGGTCCAATGCCATCCATTCATGGTCCTAATCATATTGATGTATTTGATAAAAATGTACTGTTAGTTTCCTTATGGGGCATCTGGGTAATGGAAGGGCTGCTACTGTGAACCAAGAGACAGGTCCAGCAGCCTCAGACTGTAAAAATGGTGTTTGAACGTGAAAATGGGTGTGAATGGAGCAGAGCTTAGCCATCAAAATGAGTTGGGCTGTGTATACAATTTATATTGGGAATAAACCTATTTTTTTGGACTTGATTATTATGGCAGGAAGCTTCAGTTTTAGATTTATCCAGAAGTAAAAATCTGACGTGTTCTAGTCTTCTCATACACTACTATAGATACCCATTTTTTGTCATCTGAGTTGCTCCTGGATAGTTACCATCATTTCCTGTCTGATAAACGGCTGTTTGAGTGTGCATATCAGAGCGTCACACCATGATAGAGTGCAAAATGAGATTTTATTCCAAACATATAGCAGGTGTTACAGCCAATGTGTTTTATGGAACAGACATTGTCCCCTCCATGAAACCTATGAGCACTGGAACAATGGATATTAAAAACAGGCGCAGATACATTTATTTGTCAGATCCAATGTTGGGCAAATGTGCATAAAATTAATAGTACTGGTTGGTAGTGACTCACATTGAGAGTTTAATCTCTTCTCCACGAAGGTACACATATGTGTGGCCTCTCGGTGGGTGGGCTTTAACACTAAGAGGCCGCATATACAGTCAGGTCCATAAATATTGGGACATCTACACAATTCTAACATTTTTGGCTCTATACACCACCACAATGGATTTGAAATGAAACGAACAAGATGTGCTTTAACTGCAGACTGTCAGCTTTAATTTGAGGGTATTTACATCCAAATCAGGTGAACGGTGTAGGAATTACAACAGTTTGCATATGTGCCTCCCACTTATTAAGGGACCAAAAGTAATGGGACAATTGGCTTCTCAGCTGTTCCATGGCCAGGTGTGTGTTATTTCCTCATTATCCCAATTACAATGAGCAGATAAAAGGTCCAGAGTTCATTTCAAGTGTGCTATTTGCATTTGGAATCTGTTGCTGTCAACTCTCAAGATGAGATCCAAAGAGCTGTCACTATCAGTGAAGCAAGCCATCATTAGGCTGAAAAAACAAAACAAACCCATCAGAGAGATAGCAAAAACATTAGGCGTGGCCAAAACAACTGTTTGGAACATTCTTAAAAAGAAGGAACGCACCGGTGAGCTCAGCAACACCAAAAGACCCGGAAGACCACGGAAAACAACTGTGATGGATAACCAAAGAATTCTTTCCCTGGTGAAGAAAACACCCTTCACAACAGTTGGCCAGATCAAGAACACTCTCCAGGAGGTAGGTGTATGTGTGTCAAAGTCAATAATCAAGAGAAGACTTCACCAGAGTGAATACAGAGGGTTCACCACAAGATGTAAAACAATTGGTGAGCCTCAAAAACAGGAAGGCCAGATTAGAGTTTGCCAAACGACATGTAAAAAAGCCTTCAAAGTTCTGGAACAACATCCTATGGAAAGATGAGACCGAGATCAACTTGTACCAGAGTGATGGGAAGAGAAGAGTATGGAGAAGGAAAGGAACTGCTCATGATCCTAAGCATACCACCTCATCAGTGAAGCATGGTGGTGGTAGTGTCATGGCGTGGGCATGTATGACTGCCAATGGAACTGATTCTCTTGTATTTATTGATGATGTGACTGCTGACAAAAGCAGTAGGATGAATTCTGAAGTGTTTCGGGCAATATTATCTGCTCATATTCTGTCAAATGCTTCACAACTCATTGGACGCCGCTTCACAGTGCAGATGGACAATGACCCAAAGCAGACTGTAAAAGCAACCAAAGAGTTTTTTAAGGGAAAAAAGTGGAATGTTATGCAATGGCCAAGTCAATCACCTGACCTGAATCCGATTGAGCATGCATTTCACTTGCTGAAGGCAAAACTGAAGGGAAAATGCCCCAAGAACAAGCAGGAACTGAAGACAGTTGCAGTAGAGGCCTGGCAGAGCATCACCAGGGATGAAACCCAGCGTCTGGTGATGTCTATGCGTTCCACACTTCAGGCTGTAATTGACTGCAAAGGATTTGCAACCAAGTATTAAAAAGTGAAAGTTTGATTTATGATTATTATTCTGTCCCATTACTTTTGGTTCCTTAATAAGTGGGAGGCACATATGCAAACTGTTGTAATTCCTGCACCGTTCACCTGATTTGGATGTAAATACCCTCAAATTAAAGCTGACAGTCTGCAGTTAAAGCACATCTTGTTTGTTTCATTTCAAATCCATTGTGGTGGTATATAGAGCCAAAAATGTTAGAATTGTGTCATGTCCCAATATTTATGGACCTGACTGTATATACAACCCCATGTAAACAGTTTTCTGTATTGAAAGCAAGTGCCCTGCACACTCCCAACACAGATACCAGTGGGGACCAGAAAGCTCTCAATGCATGCTTACGATTGGGAGTTTTGCAATCAAGTGACCGATGTGACTGCCAATCACAGCAGTTACATGATCGGAATGCCCACCTCCGCCGCATTTAGAGCCTCTTAAAAAGGGCCAGGAGGCGGGGGGGTGGGAAGGGGTTAAAACTCTGTGTTTCAAGCACTCAGCACTGTTTCAGCAGCTTAGCAAAAATCAGCAAGAAAAATATTAATCTGCTGAAACACTGCTCGCAACACAAAGTTTTAAACTTTCAATTTGAGACTTTACCAATGGATACTGTTGATTTTAAGGTAAAACACATTTGCACAACACTGGGTCTTCCAATCATATATCTCAGCACCTGTTTTTGGTGTCCACTGTTCCAGTGATAATATCCCAAATGAAGGACACAGTGTATGGTCCCCAAAATGCATTGGCTGCTATATATTTAGAATAAAACCTAATTCTAGACTATAAATCATGGTGTGATGCTTTGATTTTCACACTCAAACAACCTTATCAGACAGGAAATGAGGGTACCTCTCCAAAAGCATCACAGATGGAAATAAAAATGGGTTTCTATAGTAGAGTATGGGAAGACTAGATCCCCTTGCAAATTTTTTATTTCTGGATCGATCTAAATTTGAAGCTTCACACTTTAATATTCAAGTCCAAAAAATAGGGTAATTCTAAATCTAAATTGTATACAAAACCCAACACATTTCAAGGGCTAAGCTCTGCCCTCTTCATCAGGGCTGTAAAGTAACATATAAGATAAAAGGTAATGTAATGGTCTAGACATCCTTAAAGCAGAAATCCGGGCAAAAATTTATTTGAACCATGCAATGGGGATGTGCCCGCACTGTATGGGCTAACTGCTCATTTTTGTCTAGGGTGATAACAGTGAAGATATACTTACAGAATCCAGTGATCCTCGGAGCACAAGACCAGTCTCTGCCACTTCTGTCCCCCCGCATGCTGGCGGTCTTGTTAATGGACTATTCCTGATGTCATCACGCCCATAGACTGACTCCAGGCATGAGCACGGCAGGAACAGTCCACCGTGGGACGTGGGGGAGCTGGTTTTCTGGAGGATCGGAGGACAGGGTAAGTACAGCTCTTCCCTAGACCTCTGGATAAAACAAGCAGTTTTCCTATGCAGTGCAGGCACAGCGCCATTGTATGGGAAAATAAAACATTTACATGTAGTTCTGCTTTAAAATAAAATATAATATACTACGATATAATGTAGTTACACATTATGCAATAATAATAATAGGAAAACCACTGAATAAATAACATGATAACATTATTATAATAACAGCAATCATACTAATAAAATAATAAAACATAATATTAATAATATGGGCATTATCAATGATTCTAATGACATATACAGTAGTTGATAGCATATTGGTGATGGTTATACTATTATGTATATATGATGTAAAGATAAAGTAAAATAAACCTACGTTGTAATAACATATACATATCAGAAGAAAATGTCAATGTCAGTCATGCTAAACATATCTTCTATATGATTGCTATAATAATTTTTTTAATAGTATTTTCACATTTCAGCCCTAATGAGGGGGTGGAGCTTAGCCCCCAAAATGCTGTGCTCCTATATGCTGTTTTTGTTTGTAATTTTGGGTTTAAATATTAGAGTGAGACTCTTCAATTTCAGATCTATCATTTCCCATTACACTCCAAGGTGACTGTTGAAATCCTTCGGTGTATAGAAGCTACCAGCCTTATTATTCTTCCCTTCGATTACACCACCATCATTCTGTAGTATGAAAATAACAATGCAAAACTAATATTCAAATAAACCTCACGGTTTTGGTGCCAGTAACACAGGCCTTGAAATTTCCACTCGCCTGCTTGCCAATGGCGAGTGGAAATTATGGTGGGGGCGAGTGTGTCCCCCAGGGCCGTCTTGCTGAGCAGGCTTGGAGCTCAGGCCAGATCTGTCATTGGCACTGAGAGCCGTCAGACTGCTCAATAGCTGAGCGTAGTGAAAGCAAAGGAAGGAGTGTGTGCTGTGCTCTCTGCCTCCCCCTAGAGTGCATTACCTGGCTCTGTGAGTGAACAACAAAGTACTGCAACTTTTTATAGCTGTGTGTGTGTTTAGGTGTGTGTGTATGCATGTACATGTGTCTGCGTGTATGTACATGTGTGTATATGTACATGTGTCTGCGTGTATGTACATGTATGTGTGTGTACATGTGTCTGTGTGTGTACATGTGTCTGTGTGCGTGTATGTATATGTGTGTGTGTGTTTTTTGTGTGTGTATGTACGTACATGTGTCTGTGTGTACATGTGTCTGTGTATGTATGTACATGTGTCTGTGTATGTATGTACATGTGTCAGTGTGTATGTACATGTGTCTGTGGGTGTGTATTTCTGTGTATGTACATGTATATGTGTGTATGCGTGTCTGTACGTGCCTGTGTGTGTATACATGTGTCTGTATGTGTGTGTACATGTGTCTCTGTGCGTGTGTGTACATGTTTCTGTGTGTGTATGTGTGTGTGTATGTACATGTCTGTGTGTGTACAGGTGTCTCTGTTTGTGTTTGTTTGTTGGTGGTGAGTAACTCTTAAGGCCTGGCTAGTAGCTCAGGACTTGAAATTTTAAGCTCTGCATTAGCCCACTCTTCAAAGATCTATGTTTTTCTGTCTGTGCCCCTATTGCACATTTTCTCTAATTTCTTGTTTTGGCAAAAACATTGTCAACAGGACAGGAAGCTAAGAGAAATCTCACGAATGGAGCCCTGGATGACAGCAGACAACAGAAATTCTAATCCACCACCCACTCTATCCAAAACTACGAAAACATCTTTTGGCTTGCCATATACTTTATCTTGTCACTAAGAGTTATTATAGTGAGGTTGCCAAGAGGAGTATCTCAATTATATTTAGATTCATATATAAGACACCAGCTTTGCACTCAGTACTACAAATAGAACTTTGCGTATTTATCTTAAAATTTTTATTGTACCGTGACTTTTTAAATATTAAGAACTCAAAGCAAGACTTTAATTTTTAAATGAAACTGAGAAAGTTAAAATCTGTCAGGTTTATACTTCTGTGTGTTCATGAGAAAGGGTGGAGGGAAGTCTCCCCAATGGGGCCAAACATAGAAACCTACATTAGGAACATTAAAGAGGATTTTCATGCTTTTTTTAACTTGAGGTGATTGTAGCCGTATTAAAGTCAGCGGTTACAAATACTGTTGCTGCTGACTTTAAAATATACTGCATGGCACTTATCAGTCCCTGGAGATTAGTGCTGTCTTCCCGCACCTGGTTTTTCTTACCACTGCGGGTCCATGGCACTGCCATTTTGGATTTGTGATTCCCAATGAATCACAGCTGGCTCCCCATTGCACATTGCTTGCTGTTGTGGGACTGGTCCTGGAGCCTCCTAATGTGATATAATATGTGTTCCAGGAGTCTGTGGGCAGGGGGAGTGCCTAAGTGCATGCCATTCTCAACTAGGCGAGAAGGATGTGGGAAGGGAACCTGTCAAAGAAGGTACCAGTCAAGAATGTTAGGGACAGGGGTGCGGAGTTGAATAAGTGTCATTTCATTTTTGAATGAAGGCCCTCTTTACATTTCATCAGAAGCCACATTTATCATACTGGATATCAAGGCTGTGATTTTATTCTTCAAAACAGAAACTAACAACAAAAACTGGCAAAAAATGTTTAGAAAGTCAAAAACACAAAATTAGAAAAAAAATTAAACAGTTTTTCTAACTAAAACTAGATCCATATTATCAGTGTCAACAAGAAAACCTTACATCAAAAATTAATGACATGCATGTGAAAAATCTTGTTCATACTCTGGACTCAAAAGCTTTCATATCCATATATATCTTATTAGCTACAAAGCTTGTGTGAACCAAATGTCTTTGTAAGCTCAGATATTACTTTGTAAAAGTAGCGGTGGCATTATCACATGGCGTGTGCAGAAAGCAGAGATATGGGAGGCACCCAACAAGTTCACGCACTACAGGCTGCCTGCAGGAAACTATAGAGGAAAGGCAGTCTTAACTGGCTTTGGGTCTTACAACAGGTAGTTACTGTACAGATGCAAATTTTCACACTACACAGACCTGGATGACATACACAAAGCACATCAATATTCAAGTAAAAACACACATGACTCTTGTATTTAGAGAATCCTCAAAAAATCCTAAATCCTCAAAAAGAGCTTATAGTCTTCCAGGAACACATTCATTGAATATGCAGAAAATACTGTATGTAGACTATATGGGAGTTCATACAATGACCTAGTTTGCACTACTGGGAACCAATACATATGGTGTATCAAATATTATCCAATGACATTGCCCCTTCTGATGATGCTATTACAGCAAAATGCATCAGATATGCACCATATGGTTTGCTGTAAAGTGCCTTCTCTGCAGCCAAATGGCTTCTCCAGAACAATATTATCACCAAGCCTTGTTGAGCTATGATGGACTATGACATTCTATTGTATCCTTTCATAGCAGGTAAATACCCTTTCAAACATACTTTCTACAATGGTGGGCTTAGTTTCTGAGAAGATATCATATTCTTTATGAAGTACTCTTGTACTAAGTATAAATGCAATTTCAGCCAATGGGATTTTCATCATTTGTCCCTGGATGTGTGTGATTGACTATCTTTCTGAAGAACAGCTGCCTAGGCATGTTAGCATTATGATAAGTTGCTTCAAGTCTCTGCTGAGATCTATGGACTACCATTAACTTGGGGATCATCAAGGTACTTCCAACTAATTTGTTTTTGGAAGACTATTACCTGCTTATGAAGTTTTCTTTGAGTAGAAATATTAAGAAGAGCATCTTTATGGTGAAGGCAGCTCAGCTTGGTTGTTATACAAATCAAATTGTGCACCTTAAGACTGAATATTATTAGTATTCTACATTTGGACAGAATTTTACATATGAATGTGATTCATTTGTGATGCAATGTGTACCTTTTGGCATAGGCAATCTGAGTCTAGTTTTACATTGTCAATAAAAGTGAAAAATGACTTTTGTTAGCTATAAAAACCCAACAGGGATGTAACACTTCATCCACTGTGTCCAAAAAAAATGGACAATTCTTGGTATGAAGAAGAGCACCACCTACTGAAAATATGAAACTACTGGATGCCTTTGAAAATATGAAACTACCATTTAAAGCAAACCTGCTATCCTGTCCAATTCAGCCTCAGTAAAGAGGTAAGTACCACCCACATCTTGACTGACATTGCAACTCGCACTATGTATGTATCTGCACTTGCGCCACTGAGGATTACAGTGTGGCAGAGCAGGAGAAATTTGATGTGTTTACCCATACCTAGAACTACCAGGATTTTCCAGTTGGCTACAGTACAGATGAAGTTGGGTAGACAAGGACAGGAAAGGTAAGTTAAGGCACTTTGGGGCACTCAAAGGTGCCTGTTATACTCCAGGGTATTTTTTTACTTTTTTTTACACAGTTACTTTACCTGAATTATATATCAAAGCTAAAACATAAGATGACTTATATAGTTATAAAGTTAAAGCTGGCCTTCCATGAAAATATAAGATTTACTTGTCTTGCAGCCCCCACTCCTGAACAAAAAAAAAACTAACTGAAAGCAATAATTGGATAGAAAAAATGTGGAAATCACCCAGTTTACATCTCTGCTCCCATCTCACTCACTTAGGCAATGGTAATGTCACTTGAACTCACACTGGGTTCCTAGGAAAGCAGAGGATCCCAAATCACAATCAAATTCACTCCTGCATAGTTCTGGAATGCTGTCTTCTGAGATTTGGGATTCCCAGCTTTCCCAGGATCCCCTTTAGAGGCTTAGCAATGCCACTGATGCCTACAGGCAGTGGCCAGGAGCTAGGGTAAGCATTAAAATGTGTCTTCTTTCAGAGGGTGCAAGACAAGTAGACCTTGTATCAGCTGTAAAAATAAATATTTTAGAGCAATATAATTAAGAAATATTACACGTTTTCATTTATATATTACTGTGGCACACATTGAAGTAAATTGAAGTATAATGTACAATATTTGTGAATTCTTGGCACAGATTTCATAAACTATGTGGTGGTTCAGCTGTGCATACCGTTAAGACAAAACACATCTGCTTAATGATTCTGCAAAAACAGATTCCATTTTTTTTATTAAACTAGCTACAGCAGAAGCAAGATGAACGTGTTACTGTTGTCTTATATGTGGCAGTTCTCAGTCCTAAAGAACATAGTCAGATGTGTTTGATAAAAATAACTGTAACCCTAACGCTTAAATAACAACCTATTATTTTCTTATCCTTTGCTCTACAGATAGTGCTGGGCACCCGGAGGTATCTCAAGGATGTAGACAACTTCCACTACAGCAAAAGTTATATATTTGAACATCACATGTCCAGTTCTTCTTATTGTGACACAGACAATGAGTTTGCTCTTCACAGACGTGTTTCAGTACTCTGAAGTCAGATGCCATCAACCATGATGGGATCCGATATTTAACATATCCATGGAGGCCAATATAAAAACATTATAAACAAGTTTATACAAAGTGCTTTATTACACTGCACAGAAGCTCAATCCCTGTTTAGAGTACTTCATCCTACAAATGTATTCATGTTAGTAGAGAAAGATCAAATATTAATACTTGTTCACTTCAAGAACAGTATATCTAGGGGACATAGGAAAGCCATCAGAGCAACCTAAATTAAAAGAGTGCAGGCTTTCAAAAAACAAACATACATACTCACCTAGGTGAATGCAACATCAGTCCGATGCTGTATCTGTCCCCCACCGCCTCTAAGACCAATGATCGCTCAGTTCCTGGCCATCAGTAAGCAGAGAGCTGGTGACTGTCAGCTCTCTGCTCTGACCCTCAAGCACTCACTGCAGTGCCGGAGTGTGGAGGGGCAGGAGAGGCTGGCTCCGGCTCTCAGCAGCATAATGAGAGGCTGAGCCAACTGCCAGTCAGGTATCTGGGAGGATCCCAACATTATTGTCAAGATGCCTGTGAAGCTTGGACCAGCTCTGTGATGTTTGCCAACAGTGAACTTTAGCCCATTGTCGGCTGAATCTGGGTCACAGGAGTGCAGAACTAAGTGCCCACAGGAGAAGTATAGCCAAAACAGGTTTAGCCATGCTTCTTTAAAGTAGAACTAAAACCAGACTTTAAAAAAAAAAATGTAATTATGGATTGAGTAAGGTGGGGGGGGGGGGGGGGTGTAATCACTGTCAGTTTTTTTTGCCACCTGTTTGCATATTGAGGAAATTTCCCTTTATTTTCTGTCCCATACCCAAAACAGGAAGTGAAAGGATATCTCTCCAAAGTGAGGGTAATCCTGGTTACCACTAGGGTCACCAGCATTAATGTCCCCATTGGAAGACTTCTCCTCTATTCCTGTTTTGGCGATCACCCAACATTTGGGATTTTCCTTTA